AGGTAGAGACAGAGAGAGGTCTTGCATGTTCTGGTTCACTCCTCAGATGGCTGCAATAGCGGGAGCTGAGCTGATCCGAAGTCAGGAACCAGGAGCTTCTTCCAGGTCTCCCACATGGGTACAGGGGCCCAAGGACTTGGGCCATCTTCTGCTTTCCCAGGCCATAGCAGAGAGCTGGATTGGAAGAGGAGCAGCCGGGACTAGAACCAGCGCCCATATGGGATGCCGGCGCTTCAGGCCAGGGCTTTAACCTGCTGAGACATAGCATTGGCCCCCATGTATGTTTAATCTTTTCAAATGCTTATTAGCTATTTTTGCACTATCTTTGATGAGGTATCTGATCAGCTGTTTTGCCCAATATTTAATTGGGTTATTGTGGATGATCCCATGAGACTGCCTGCCCTGCCCATGCAAGAGGTTGAGAGGGCATGGTGTGCCGTGCTTCCCAGGAGGGACCCCGCTGCCTGGCTGCTGGCAGGTGGCGGGAGCGCCGGGCACACTTCTCCCCACCCCCAGCTTCTGCCAGTCAGGTAAACTGCTCCTGGGTGTGGCCCAGGCCCACCTGGAAAGCTACCCTAGCTACCTGACCTTCAAGCTAATTGGAGAGGCATATTGGTGCCAGTGTCGGTTCTGACGTGTTGCCCTGAATTAGTTACGCCCCTTCTGCCTGCCCATTAAAAATTGTACATGGTCGTTAATAAAGCAGACGTGTTCACCAAAGCCTCTGCCTGGTGCTTCTTGTTGAAGAACATGATTGCCCCACTCTCCTCGACAGTGCAGGCCTCACAGAATGAGTCCACACAATATTGGTTTTCTTCTAGCTGAATTTTTTTTTTTTTTTTTTTTGACAGGCGGAGTGGACAGTGAGAGAGAGAGACAGAGAGAAAGGTCTTCCTTTTGCCGATGGTTCACCCTCCAATGGCCGCCGCGGCCGGCGCGCTGCGGCCGGCGCACCGCGCTGATCCGATGGCAGGAGCCAGGAGCCAGGTGCTTTTCCTGGTCTCCCATGGGGTGCAGGGCCCAAGCACCTGGGCCATCCTCCACTGCACTCCCTGGCCACAGCAGAGGGCTGGCCTGGAAGAGGGGCAACCGGGACAGAATCCAGCGCCCCGACCGGGACTAGAACCCGGTGTGCCGGCGCCGCTAGGTGGAGGATTAGCCTAGTGAGCCGCGGCGCCGGCCCTTCTAGCTGAATTTTAAGAGTTCTCTGTGTATCTTAGGTACAGGTCATTTATCAGATATGTGCTTTGCAAGTACTTTGTCCTAGTTTGGGACTTTGCTTTCCATTCTCCTAGCAGTGTCTTTTATGGAGCCTTAGTTTTAAATTTTTTTAAAATGGAGTTATTTTTAAAATTATTTTTATTTATTTGAAAGGCAGAGAAACACAAAGATTTTCCATCCACTGGTTCAGTCCCTAGAAGCCCACAACAGCCGAGGCTGGCTAGGCCAAAACCAAGGCCCTGAATGTTAGTCTGGGTTTCCTCTGTAGATGGGAAGGACTTGAGTACCTGAGCCTTTATCACTGCCTCCCAGGATGAATTAACAGAAAGCTGGATGGAAGTGGAAGAGCTGGGACTAGTACCAGACACTCCAAAAGAACACATGCATCCAAAGTAGTGCCTTAACCACTGTGCCACAATGCTCTTTCCAAGTTTTAATTTCAGTTATGTCCTGCTTATTTTTTTCTTTCACAGATCCTGCTGTTGGTGTTTTATCTAAAAATTCATTACCAAAGCCAAGGACTTTTAGGTTTTCTTCCGAAAATTTTATAGTATTGCATTTTTAAGTTGATTTTTGTGAAAGATGTATTACCCAGATTTGTATTTTTTTCCTGAGAATATCCAGTTGTTTCAGCACTTTTGTTGAAAAGACTCCTTTCTTGATTGGATAGCCTTCTTTGTCAAACGTCAATTAAACTATATATTTTTTTCAAGATTTATTTATTTATTTGAAAGTCAGAGTTACACAGAGAGACGCAGAGGCAGAGAGAGAACGAGAGGTCTTCTACCCGGTGGTTCACTACCCAATGGGCTGCAACAGCCGGAGCTGCACCAATCTGAAGCCAGGAGCCAGGAGCTTCTTCTGGGTCTCCCATGTGGGTGCAGGGGCCCGAGCACTTGGGCCATCTTCCACTGCTTTCCTAGTCTATAGCAGAGAGCCGGAATGGAAGTGGAGCAGCCAGGACTTGAACCAGTGCCCATATGAGATGCTGGTTCTGCCGGCAGCGGCTTTACCTGCTATGCCACAGCACTGGCCCAATTGACTATGTTTTGGTTAACTTTATAGGACTCTATTCTGTGCCATTTATCTATTTTTCTTTACTTTTACCATTTACATACCATCTTATTTACTGTAGCATTAGAGTAATACAAGAAATTGAATTATGTTCTCTGAATTTTTTTTTTTTATTCTGGGTCATTCCCTTCCTGTATAAACCTCAGAATCTGTTTGCCAGTATCCACAAAGTATTTGGCTGAGTTTTTTTTATTATAATTGTGTTGAATCTATAAATCAGTTGAGAAAAACTGACATTTTATAATATTGAATCTTGCAATCCATGAATATGACATATCTTTCTGCTTGTGTGGTTCAGTTTCGGGTTTTCTTTGATCAGAGTTTTGTGATTTTTATCATGTAAATCTATCTTTCTTTCTTTCTTTCTTTATTTTTGACAGGCAGAGTTAGACAGTGAGAGAGAGAGAGAGACAGAGAGAAAGGTCTTCCTTCCGATGGTTTACCCCCCAAAATGGCCACTATGGCCAGTGCGCCATGCCAATCCAAAGCCAGGAGACAGGTGCTTCCTGCTGGTCTCCCATGTGGGTGCAGGGCCCAAGCACTTGGGCCATCCTCCACTGCCTTCCCGGGCCACAGCAGAGAGCTGGACTGGAAGATGAGCAACCGGACAGAATCCAGTGCCCCAACTGGGACTAGAACCCGGGGTGTCAGCGCTGCAGGCAGAGGATAAGCCTATATCATGTAAATCTTATCTGTATCTTGTTAGATTTACACCTAAATTATTTTTAGTATAAATTTAAATGGTATATTTTTAGTTTCAAATTTTACCTGTTCATTGCTATTGCTGGTGTATAGGAAAGCAATTGACTGAGGCCTGCATTGTAGCACAGTAGGTTAAGCCACTGCTGCCCATATGAGCATCCTTTATGAGCACTGATTGGAGGCCTAGCTGCTCTACTTCCCAACTCCCTGCTAATAGGCCTGAGAAAGCAGCAGAAGATGGCTCAAGTGCCTTGGCCCCTGCCACCCTTGTGGAGACCCAGTTGGAGTTCTAGGCTCCTGGTGTTGCCCTGGCCTAGCCAGGTCCGTTGTATCCATCTGAGGAGTGAACCAGTGGATAGAAGATCTCATATGTCTCTCCCTCTCTTTCTGTAACTCTGCCTTCAAATAAATCTTTAAAAAAAAAGGGAAGCAATTGACTTTTGCCTATTGATTTATTTGCTGAAATCTTGCTGAAATTGCTTGTGTCTTCCAGTATGTTTTTTCTTTGTTTTTGTCAATTCCTTGAGATTTTCTATAGAAATAATCATGTCCTTTGTAAACTGGGATGATTTTTTTCTAATCTTTATCTCTTTTATTTTCTTTCTTTATTTTATTGTACTAGCTTGAACTTTAATTATGGTGTTGAGTGTGAGTGATGAAAAGGGACATCCTTGTCTTGTTCCTGATCTTAGAGGGAAAACATCTAGTTTCTCATCACTGTGTATGTTGTTAACTATGTATATTATTTGTAGATATTCTTTACCATGTTGAAGAAATTCCCCTCTATTCCTCATTTATTGAGTTGTTTAAAAATTGTAAGAGAATATTGAAATTTGTTAAATGTTTTTTCTACATCTCTTGATACTAGCATATGATTTTTCTTCCTCAGTATTTTGTGCCTTTTTTGTTTGTTTCAAGTGAATTAACTCTATGCCTCAGATCCTAATTTCTACTGTTTGTCATATGTTTCTAATTTTCATCAGAAAAGTAGCTTACTGTATTTTTTTGGTTTTCTGTCATGTTTAGATATTTTCTACTATAGCATTATATGTACAGAGTATTATTCCTTTTCTAGTATTGTTACAGTTTTCATATTTACATCTTTGAGTATATTTTATTTAGTGTAATCTGTTAGGCAAGAAATAGAATTCTTTCATTGATGGCTAGCAGTTGTCATAGATGAATTAAATGTTTGGTAGAGGGCATAGATAAGTGGCAACCAAGACTAAAAGAACTACCTAAATGGAAATAGTTCAACTGAGGTCAACCGTTAAGTCCAGTTTGGTTTTAGTTAAAGTATATAAATATAAAGGAAGGCAATACTTATATTAGGATCTGGGCCTGGAAAGAAAATTGAGGTCAGAACATGGAGAATACTAGATAGTCAGACACAAACAATTGAAGTTTTTAGAGTGGAGGAGAATGTCATATCGACTGTGTTAACCAAATTCATCTGAATGCCCTATGTGCAGTGATTTGGGAGTGGGCAAATCTAAGGAAGGAGAAACAGTAGGAGACTGTCTTCTAGGTGAGAGAACAGGAGTGGGAATAGCAAAGACAACAGACTAGATATAGATGGTAAAATAAGTGTAGAACTAGAACCTAATTAATTTAGGATTGTGCTAAAAATTATGCCCTGAAATGGGATATGGTTTAAAGAATAGGACACCTAAATGAAGGGATTCAAGAATTTGCCTTTACACATTGTGTTTACATTATTAATAGGTTGGAGTGAAGAAGTAACATATAAGAAAGTGGAATGTAATTTAAGGAAAGAGGTCAGCCTAGAGAACCAATTTCTGGAACAGTGAGAGTTGAAGCCTTAATAGATGAGACTCACAAAAGAAAATAGTAGAGAATCAAAATCTTGCAAACGTCTGATTTTAAAAGGTTAAAGAAGGAAGAATTGGCAAAGGAGAAGAGCTGTCTTCACAATAGGAGAAAAACAAAGAACCAGAGTGTAAACATGTATTATGTAACTCTTTGCACCTTTTTTTAAATAGGAAATGGACCTTCAGGAATATGCCTCTCCTATATGTTGTCAGGCTACAGACCATATTTATCATCAGAAGCAATGCACCCCAATGCAATCTTACATAGTAAATTAGAAGAAGCAAGACATCTTTCCATTGTTGATCAGGTATTATCTCTTACTTACGTGTAATTTTTAAAATTTTTATGTTAAAACATTACTTGACTCTCACTGGGATTAAACATGACAATAGGTCTGATCTGATTTCATCATCATTTAAAAAAAATCATCTATTATTTTTCACTTTATGTTTCTGTGTGGGAGCAAACTGTTGAAATACTTACTTAAGGTATACTAAGCTGATCTTCTGTATATTAAGATAATCGAAAATGAATCTTGATGTGAATGGAAGGGGAGAGGGAGTGGGAAAGGGGAGGGTTGTGGGTGGGAGGGACGGTTTGGGGGGGGAAGCCATTGTAACACATGAGTCGTACTTTGGAAATTTATATTCATTAAATAAAAGAAAAAAAAAACATTAGCTTTTACTTAGATGAACATTGTTTCTTGGTTGAAAATTTGAAGTAGTGCTTTCTGTCACTCTTTAGATTAATAAATATATTTTCCTGCGTTCTGTTTGCTTCACTGAGTTTATTAGAACTGATTTTCTGAAATAATTTCTTGATGGCATCTTAAGAGATGCTCGATGTTCAGATAAGTTTTAAAAGGACTTATTTTTTATCACCAGACATGAGGATAGGACATTAGCATGTAACAGCCTCTTAAGTTTTTCTATATATTGATCTGGTTGGCTTTATTGAAACCTAGCCTTTTCCTATATTTGACCAAAGAATCTATTGAGATCTCTAGGAACTTAACTTCAGTGCTGTACAGCCCATTATCAGGGAAACACTGAATTAGAGTAATGATCATTATTATGATAGCTATTTTTAATTTTTCTAAACTGTACCTTTTTTTTCCACTTTGCTTTTAGGACTTAGAATATTTGTCTGAAGGTCTTGAGGGCCGATCATCCAATCCAGTTGCAGTGCTTTTTGACACACTGCTTCATCCAGATGCTGACTTTGGGTATGACTATCCATCCGTTTTGCATTGGAAATTAGAACAGCATCATTATATTCCTCACTTAGTTCTTGGTAAAGGTCCACCTGGTGGGGCTTGGCATGTGAGTATATTTTTCCTGGAATTTTAAAGTATGTGAAGTATATATTTTGTTTTCATAAACCAGCTCGATTCTTAACCATTATAATACTGTAATGTGTAATGTTTATCACCTTAATCCTCTTTATTTGCTTAAATATGCATTGATTACTAGTAGTAATCAAGTTGATTATTGATACAGTGTCTTAAGATACTCATTTCTCAGAAAAGCAGTTCATCTGTTTATCTCTACAATCGTATAAAAATTATATGTAAAACACTTTAGGAATATTTTGCACAGTAACACATTTAAAATCCATGTATTTGTTTTAGAATATACAAAATCTAACGCAGTATTTACAGTGTTTCAAACCAGTGTCTAATATTTCCATACATTTTCAAGATCTTAAAAGAAAAATGTGTTGTGAAAGAAAGAAGTTGTGTTAGTCTGCTTGGCTGCTGTAACACAATTCCATAGACAAGAAGACTTAAACAACAGACATTTATTTATGTTGGTTGTGGAGGCTAGAATGTCTGAGAACAAAGTCCAAGACTGATGTGGTTTCTGGGAAGGTCCTTCTTCTCTTTCACATAGCCACCTCATTGTGTCTATACAGGACAGAGAGCAACCTCTCTTCCTGTTTTTATAAAGCTACTGATCCCATTATGAGGTGCCTGCCTTCACGACCTCCTGTAACCCTAAATTACCTCCCAGTGGCCTCATCATCAAACACCATCACACTGGGGATTAGAGCTGCAAGCAAGGATTCTGGGGGAGATACAGTTCAAATCTATAGTAGAGATTAAACCAGAAAACCAACAAAGATTTAACCAGTAAATTTCACTAGAGGACCAATAATTAATAAATATTTTTAGGTGATTACAGTTAATAGTGTCTAGTATATAGTGAGTATTCATTTGCTATACGAATAAATGTTATAGTTTAGTTTGCTATGTTAATGAAGTAGACTTCATGACAGCATTAACATTAAATATCAAATATCAAATGTTAGTACTTCAGTTGGCTGTTTCTATGGCAGTGTTACACATCTAAGAAGTTGTGTACCCATAATTTATCAAGTAACTTCTTCAGGGTATCAGAGGACATTCCTGGAGTAAATATATCTCTAATTAATTTTAAAATCTTAATTCTTTTTATGATAATAAGTAATAGCTACCAAAGTATCTATGCCTATTTTACTTAAGTATTTCTTAGTCTTTCTGAACTACTCAAGTTGTGAAAATTCAAGCTGTTAATTTTCTTATTCTCTGATCACAACTCTCTTTTCTTCCAGCTGCATCACCCAGTTTCTCACACTTATACCTAATCTTAACACACAGAGAATGCTCTAGGTCCTGCGCTTTGCCACCTTACCTATCAAGTTAAGGTTCTGCAGTTCTTTGATTTAGCATTCTCTTTAATTCCTTTCTTTGATGTCTTATTACATGTGTTTGGAAAAAAAGGAGAAAACAATTCATCCAACTAGCCACTTTATCTTTTTTTTTAATTGAGCTGTCAGACCTCCAGGGGAAAAATTTGTCTAAATGTGGGAAGTGTTCTGTAACCTTAGTTGGGCTCTAAAGATTACTTGATAACCCTTGATTTCTTTATGAGGTTCTTCTTAGCCCTCATTTTTTTTTCTTTCTCTTTCATGTTTGGAAGTGCTCTTGCATCTTCTTTTAAAGAGAAAATAGAACATAGCAGGATTGAACTCATACAGTTTTGTACTCAAACCTGCAATGTATCTCATTTATGCTATTTCTTTATTTTTTGTCCCCAGTGTGGTGGTGTTTGAAGATGAGGCCATTGGGAGGTAATTTAGGTTACATGAGGTCATGAAGGCAGGCGTCTCATAATGGGATCAGTAGCTTTATAAAAACAGGTAACACTGGTATCCAGAGCTCACCTAGTTATTATGTTCTGGATCCCAGTCTTCTCAAGGATATCTAATAGTTGGTGTTATATTTCTCTTTTGCCTTCGATTTCTGTGCCATAGAAATTATTCAGTATGTAAAATTATTTCTAGCTTTAAAAAAAATTTAGATGCCAGCTTATGTCTTTTGTTTTATAGCCAACTTCTTGAAAGTATTGCCTGTACATATTGTCTATAAACCTCTGTGTACTACTCCTTAGTTCATCCATGCTACCTTCTGTCACTGGTTTTCCACTGACACTTTTTTTCTGAGGGTCACTGACTTTTTTCTTAATTTGATGAAGGGGCTGAAAATCTGAGCCTGATAGCATTTGAAGGTATTGATAGCATTGTTATCTGAACTAGCCTTGTTTGGTCTCCTTTTCAGTTACTTTGTAGACTTTGTTCTTAAAACTGGTTCTGTAGACTATATCCCAAGCTGAAGTCTTCTTTTCATAGCTTCATTTTCCCTGCCTTATCTTCCAGCTTCAGTGTGCATATTGATGCTGATTGAGTCTCAAGTCAAAATCCTTGGCCCAAACTGTTCTTTCTCTTACATCAAATAGATATGCCCCTCTGATTATTCCACAGTTGTCCTCAGACTCAACATGTCTACAACTAACCAACTTTATCTTCAAATTTCATCAATTTCCTTATAAATTTCACCATTCTATAGTTACTCAAGGCAAAACCTTGGAGTCTTCCTTGATTTCTTTTTTCAATTCCCACTTCAAATTAATTACCAAATCTTTTCTGTTTTGATAAACATTTTTGAGTAGACTATTTCTCCCCATCATAATTATAATTTTGCAAATATTAGCCACTATTAACTTTTATCCAATTCATTGCAAAGCCTTTCCCACTTAGCTTCTTCAAAGCATTCTTTTTTCTTTTTTTTTCAACTTTTATTTAATAAACATAAATTTCCAAATTTTGGATTACAGCAGTTTTCCCCCCATAACCTCCCTCCCACCCGCAACCATCCCAGCTCCCACACCCTCCCTCTCCCATCCCATTCTTCATCAAGATTCTTTTTTTTTTTTTTTTTTTTTGACAGGCAGAGTGGACAGTGAGAGAGAAAGACAGAGAGAAAGGTCTTCCTTTGCCGTTGGTTCAGCCTCCAATGGCCGCCATGGCCGGCGCACTGTGGCCAGCGCACTGCGCTGATCGGAAGGCAGGAGCCAGGTGCTTCTCCTGGTGTCCCATGGGGTGCAGGGCCCAAGGACTTGGGCCATCCTCCAGTGCACTCCCTGAAAACAGCAGAGAGCTGGCCTGGAAGAGGGGCAACCGGGACAGAATCTGGTGCCCCGACTGGGACTAGAACCCAGTGTGCCGGCGCCGCTAGGCGGAGGATTAGCCTATTGAGCCGCAGCGGCGGCCAAGATTCATTTTCAATTATCTTTATATACAGAAGATCAATTTAGTATATACTAAGTAAAGATTTCAACAGACTGCACCCACACAGACACACAAAGTATAAAGTACTGTTCGAGTAGTATTACCGTTAATTCTCATAGTACAACACATTAAGGACAGAGATCCTACAAGGGGAGTAGGTGCACAGTGACTCCTGTTGTTGATTTAACAATTGACACTCTTATTTATGGCGTCAGTAATCACCCGAGGCTCTGGATGGGAAGTAGAGCGGCAGTGATGCTAACTATACTAAGAAGTGTAGATTTTAATTAGACCTGTAATAGCTCAACAGTTATAAATTCTCAATAGTTATAAACTGGTTTAATTTTTAGATGTACACATTTTAATCCCTTTATTTATTTAATGAAAGGTTATCAAGCAGCTAATTTGAGCACTGTAGATGGCACTGGAATCACAAAGGCACATTAAATACTGTCTCTTAATGTACTCATTAAATATTTAATATATTTAATATATTAAATTTAAATATTTAATATATTCATTAAATACTGCTTTCATGGGATTCCTGTTGATAAAACTAATTCATCAGCATTTTTTAACTGAAAAAGAAAAACAGGCTTTCTGTGTGAAGTATTAGGATAATTTATAGCTAAGATAGTCCAGACAAATTAAAAGTGTATAACAGCATACGACAGAGAAGAGATACTCATGGAAACTAAAAGTACTGTCCTTATAGAATATTTTCCCTTTTCCAGGAACCTAAAAGGAGATCGAGTTATGCCAGAGGAAATAGCTCGTTACTATAAACATTATGTAAAAGTCATGGGTCTTCAGAAGAACTTCAGAGAGAATACATATATAACCTCCGTATCAAGACTCTACAGAGAGCAGGATGATAATGATAGTCAAGATGGAGATGTTTCAACAAAGCATTTACAGATAGAGAAGTCAAAATTTATCAAGAGAAACTGGGAAATCAGGGGTTATCAGCGGATAGCAGATGGTTCTCATGTTCCCTTTTGCCTTTTTGCTGAGAACGTAGCTCTAGCAACTGGAACATTGGATTCTCCTGCCCATCTGGAAATTGAAGGGGAAGATTTTCCTTTTGTGTTTCATTCAATGCCTGAATTTGGAGCTGCTATAAACAAAGGAAAGTTGCGTGGCAAAGTAGATCCAGTGTTAATTGTAGGTTCTGGGCTTACTGCAGCTGATGCAGTCCTGTGTGCTTACAATAATAATATCCCTGTGATTCATGTATTCCGTAGACGAGTAACTGATCCAAGCTTAATTTTCAAACAGCTTCCCAAAAAACTCTATCCTGAATATCATAAAGTCTATCATTTGATGTGTACTCAGTCATATTCTGTAGACTCAAATCTTTTGTCTGATTATACAAGTTTTCCTGAGCACCATGTGCTTTCCTTTAAGTCAGATATGAAATGCATTCTTCAAAGCATCTCTGGATTGAAGAAAATATTTAAGCTGTCTGCAGCAGTAGTATTGATAGGTTCTCATCCTAACCTATCCTTTTTAAAGGAACAAGGGTGTTACCTAGGCCATAACTCAAGTCAGCCAATCACATGTAAGGGCAATCCTGTGGAAATAGATGCATATACCTATGAGTGTGTTAAAGAAGCCAACCTTTTTGCGCTGGGTCCCTTGGTTGGAGACAATTTTGTTAGATTTTTAAAGGGAGGGGCACTTGGTGTTACACGCTGTTTAGCTACAAGACAGAAGAAAAAGCATTTGTTTGTTGAACGAGGAGGAGGAGATGGGATATCTTAAACCAAATTTATAAATAAATGGACAATTTACCATTAAAGATTTTTAATAATGGTTTTGCAGTGTACTGGCTTGAATTTTCTGGACTTGAATTAACTGGAGGAGAACCTCAAACTATAGTTAACTTCATTTTGCAGTTCCTAGAACTTGGTGGCCTGATTTGTATAAAAACGTATCAAAGGTGTCACTATTCGACAGATAGAAACACTGCCAACTTCTTTATAATTTAAGCTTTCAGTAACTAAAAATATTCTTTTCTTCCAAGATGTATTTTTAATGGTCATTTTTGGGTTGTTTCTTCTGTTTCATTCCAAAATATTACAACCTTAAATCTATAAAACCACACAGTCTTTAAGTGAGAAATTGTCCTCACTGTATATTGGGTCACCTTGATGCTCAAAAGGTGGTCCAGGGACCAGCAGTATCCTCTTCATCTGTTAGTCATTAGACATGGAGATGCTCAGGCCCCACCACACTCTTACTGAATCAGAAACTGCATTTTTTAACAAGATCCCCAAGGGATATATGTATGTTCAATAAAGTTTGAGACACTGGCCTAAGTGAAAAATGGCTATGTATATATTGCTGGGGGTGGTTTAAGGGCAAGGGGCATTTACAACTCAGGTTTTATTTATTTTGAAATTACCAATTGTAAATTAATTTATTACCAAATATGATAGTCTTCTAAAAATATTTTTATTGTTGGAACCTTGACACATACTTCATAATCTTCTAATAATTTAAACATTCCAGTAATGTTGATATATGTTTTGACATCTGAGAACCCAATATATTTTTCAGAGATTTGTTCTCTAATCACCATAAAATCTAATAAATCTGATTTCTAATAAATTGTGAATGGAACTACTTATCCATGAGTGTGAACATAGTTCATTTCTGTAAGACATCTGGGCATGGTAAGTACTTCTGAAACTGTAATGTATTGGGTATTATCAGAATTATTAAAGCTTAAAATAGAAAAGGTTAAAATTTTTATTTTCCATTCCCAAAATTTCCATTCTCAAAATTAATTTGAGATCACTAATACTGTTTGTTCATTGGAGATGAAAGTAGCTTACACAATGATTATTTATTCGATGTGCCTGTTCTAATTATCTTGATTTGCATTTAAGTGGGCTTAATGTCTGTATTTTCACACAGATTGTCAGAATTTTTAGTATAAGACAACATCTCAAGTTTTCCTTTGTAATTGAATATATCAGTATTTTCTTTGGTATAGTTATTTCATCTTGGAATGTGTTCATTGAATCTCTAATTCTATTTTTCATAGAATTTTAAAAAGTGGACCTGTCAGTATTTTCATGTACACTCTTAACAATGCTATGTGCTTGGTTAACTAAGATCATAACTTATCTTAAATATAATGTTTTAAAATTATTTGCTTCTAAGTAATTGCTTCAGAAGAATTCTTAAGATTCTTGATAATGGCATACCTAATTGAGTTAAAATTGAACTGTAATCCAGTTTCATTTTATGGCAATTTTTTAAAAACTGTTTACACACTTTATTGAAATGGTATTACATCCTCTGACTACATGAGTCAATATTCTTTTGCTTGCCTTTTTTGAATTCTGAATGAATTGGATAGGATATTTTTCTTAATGTCAGTTTTAAATCAAAAATGACAGTATTGTACATATGATTTCTAGGAAGGAGTAAGACCTATTGACATCCTCTTGTGCCTCCGAGTCTGCTCCTACTCAACAAATAGTATTTCTTTTGATGAGAGTTTTTGTTAAAAAAGATAAGAAAAAAAGAATCTTTAGGGAAAATAAAGCTTCAGTAAAACCCTAAATAAATATGGTGGGTAATTTCATCTTTGACAGCCTCTTGTTTATCAAATCTGTTAATGGTAGGTCTCCTCTGTGGCATAAAACATTCAGGCCTTTCCACTTATGTTTAAGGTTATTAACTTCTTTACCACAATTCCAAATGTTTCCTAATTTTTCAGTGTTAACCAGCTATTAAAGAAAAGGAAAATCACTACCTACTCGAGTAGTGTTATGATGTGAGCATTTCCTCCTGATTCTTCTAAGTCTAGCTTGGTACCTAACAAACATCCCATACTTAATAATTGTAAAAGAATGTTCAGGAAACAAGCGGAATATGTTTTGACTTTTAAAAATCAATGATGTAATAAAAATAATATTCATTTACAGCTTTCAGTACTTTAAGCAGCTAGAGTAAATGAACCTTATCCAACTTTACTTTTTGAAAATCTGAGCAGTTTTATCATGTAGTTACCATAGTACCAAACTTTACTAAACACATATTAAAAATTCAAACCAAGGGTATTTAAAAATATTATGTAGCCATTAGGCAGTGATGAAAAATTCTAAATAAATTCTGCTATTAAGTGAAAGTAACTTCTGTTAAGTCCCTGCTTATGGAACAGTGAAGAACTCGAAAGAGAATTAGATTGAGTTTAAATGTGATCTTAAACCTAACTTGTTTTAAAGGGAGGCTTATGGCATAAAGCCACTTTGATCTGATTATATCAGGTCAGATAGTCTTCAAAACAACACTGTATACATTCCTGAAAAAGGAAAAACATGACAGTAGTCTCCAGGGCTAGCCTTAAAAACACTGAATTAAGGATTAGACCTATCCTGTTGATTTTGAATTACCCTGCCACCCATGTTATTTGAGAAAAATAATGCCACTGGGAAAGGAGCTGACCAAAAAGATAAGGAAAAAATGACTGATAAACCACAAAATTAAAATCCTTCAAACTTAAAACTAGTAAAAGGACAGCTTCCCGGTTCCAATCATGATGAAGTGGTGGGAATTCAACTTACTTTCCACTGTAATCAAGTATAGGACTGATTTTTTGATAGAAGTGAGGTGAGCACTATAATTATCCTGCCTTTTTTGCATTGAGTCACTCTGCAAACTATTCCAAGGAGTAGAGTGTATCTGGATGAGAGAAAAACATCACAGTTGAGAGTTCCTGCTGGGATTTGCTGAGCAGTGTACTGACAAGGAAGTTTCACAAAGAAGATACTCCAGAAGTTTGATGATTTCCTTAAGTCTGGCTTTGGTGAGAACCACAAAAGTTGCCAGAGGTCAGCAGCTATAAGCTAGGGGCTGGGCTGTATGGCAATTCTAGAGGTATACCATTCTAGAACATTGTTCTGGCCTGCCAGCCAAACCAGGCCTTTCTAAATACCCTAGGCATTCGATTGTGACTCTCCAAGAAGGCCATGCCTTTAGAATAAGGTTACTAAGATTAAGCCTTAGCAGAATCTAGCAGAGCTGCCAGTAAATTAACTGCCTGCCCACACCAACACTTGACACTCTTAAAATAAGAAAATCCAAGGCTGGTGCTGCCGTAGCTCACTAGGCTAATCCTCCACCTGTGGCGCCGGCACCCCAGGTTCTAGTCCCGGTTGGGGCACCGGGTACTAGTCCCAGTTGCTCCTCTTCCAGTCCAGCTCTCTGCTGTGGCCCGGGAGGGCAGTGGAGGATGGCCCAAGTGCTTGGGTCCCTGCACCCGCTTGGGATACTGGCAGGAAGCACCTGGCTCCTGGCTTCGGATCGGCGCAGTGCCGGCCTTGGTGGCCATTAGGGGAATGAACCAACAAAAGGAAGACCATTTTCTCTCTCTGTCACTGTCTAACTCTGCCTATCAAAAAATAAAAAAATTTTTTAAAAAAGGCAAAATCCAGAATCAAAACAACATCCACAGTGTCCAGCATACACTAGAAAATTAGGTGAGCAGATAAAAAGGAAAATATGGTATATAAACAAAAAAGGAATGAAAACAGTTCCATAACGGATACAGGTGTTGAAAATATCGGATAAGTACTCTAACACAGTTAATACAGGGATAAAATTCAAAAACTTGAAAAGTGTGGAAGAATCTCAGAAGAAAAACTGAAGCATGATTATAGTACAGCTGAAAAATGCATTCTGAAATAATCCGCTGGATGAGTTCAGCAACAAATGAGGATACTGCAGAAAGAGGGTACCTGGTTGATAGAAGAGGATGGGTAAACAGAACTCAACTGAAGCACAGACAGTGGTAAAAAGACTAGAAAATCACTGCCATACTTAATGGTCTGTGGGTCAATTCAAATATCTACAACCAACTTGTATTTGATCAAGGAGCTAAAACTAATTCCTGGAGCAAGGACAGTCTATTCAACAAATGGTGTTGGGAAAACTGGATTTCCACATGAAGAGGTATGAAATAAGTCCCCTACCTTACACCTTACACAAAAATCCACTCAACATGGATTAAAAATCTAAATCTACGACCCAACATCATCAAGTTATTAGAGAAAATAGGAGAAACCCTGCAAGATATAGGCACAGGCAAAGACTTACTGGGAAAAAACTCCAGAGGCACAGGCAGTCAAAGCCAAAATTAACAACTGGGATTACATCAAATTGAGAAGTTCCTGTACTGCAAAAGAAACAGGAAAGTAAAGAGACAACTGACAGAATGGGAGAAAATATTTGCAAATTATGCAACTGATAAAGGCTTAATAACCAGAATCTACAAAGAAACCCCACAACAACAAAGCTAACAATCCACTTATCTCTGCTCATCCCAAATGAGCACAGATTTTTGTCCCGGCTGATGCAGCTGCCTGCTAATGTACCTGAGAAAGCAGCAGAAAATGGCCCAAAACCTTGGGCACCTGCACCCACAGGGGAGAACCAGATGGAAATCCAGGCTCGTGGTTTTGGCCTGGCCCAGTCATTTGGGGAAAAACAGCAGATGAAGATTTTTCTTTTTCTCTTCCTTTCAAATATAAAAATCTTTTAAAAAAATGACAAAAAGGCCTGCAGCAGAGCTCAGCACCCTTTAGCTCCAGCCCCTCTCACTGACAATACTGGGGTTTTCTGTGCCCTCCCCATCCAGAGAATTACTCTGGGCTCTTGCCCCTCCCAAGAACAACTGCTTGAGCTTTAGGCTTTGTTGCTGTCTTGCTCTGGGCTCTGTCCTGGGCTATCTATGCTCCACCTAGCCCATCAAGTAGCATGCTCACTTGGGGCTCCAGCCAGGACTTGTGTCAGGACCAGCACAGCAAGCACACTGCTAGCTCACTCAGGGTTCTAGCCCAGGTATTCTGTGCTCTTACCAGTCCAGCACACCATTGACTTGCTAGGGAGTCCAGTCCAGAGTTGCTATGCCCCACTCAGGTCCAGCTTTGGTCTAAGGGATCCAGCCTTTCCCACAGAAATAGGCAGGTTTCTATATCCCTCCAAGGCTACTACTTGTTTGGAGCTCCAGGCTGGGATTCCTGTACCCACTGCCTACCTTTGATCTGTAACGTGCCCACACCACCCCTTACCCCTACAGCTCAGCACATGGGCGTGGTCTGGGAGTACTTGCTCTTCTGTCCCAGGGCCAAAGTCACTCTCACAGATCCAGCCACTCAGAAAGCATCTTGGGGAACCCACCTCCCCTAACCGCCATTAGTGCTGTTCTTGGGGCTCTGTAATCAGTCAGTGGCTGGGAGTATGTGAGCTCAACCTACTCCTGGAGCCACAGCTGATCTCATAACACCAGATCCTGACTTTGGTGTTTGCTAGGAGTCTGTATGCCAGGCCCACTTCCTGTAGAGCAGGACCTGCTCACAATACCTGGGAAGCTCCTGACTCCAGTCCCTCCCCCAGGAAATTACAGGAGACCCATATGACAGGGATCTCAGCAACTATACTGGGCCGCAGGATCACTCCAGATCTCTAATACTATTATCAATTGTAGCATAAAAAGATAGAAGGACATTATACTATAAAGTCCAGCTGGAACTAAAGCCAAAATAGTCTACAAAACTGATACCCTAAGGCATATGTTAAGGCAAATCTTCAATCCATGAAAACCATGTTAAAAAATGC